GCTCTGCGCCGTGGCACTGGATTCTTCCGCTCTGCGCCGTGGCACTGGATTCTTCCGCTCTGCGCCGTGGCACTGGATTCTTCCGTCCCACACAGAGCCAGAACATCTAATCAAGTTCATCTTCCTGAAGCTGCGCCAAAGAGCTCGTCTGTGAACCCTCCCCTCGGTCTCCCTAAGACATGCTGGACGGGAAGTACCCAGTGATTCTCCCGAGGAAGGCGGTCCTTCCTATCCCCCCAAAAGACAGCTCTTCAGCTTTCAGAGGCCTGCACCCCCAACCCACCCCCCAGGAGAACAGATTGCTGAGCTACCCTGAAGCTGTACGCACCCTGGTCAGGACGAAGGGCCCTGCTGGGTGCTGGCTCCCTTCCAGCCGGCCCTCCTCGTGTCCCTGTGGCCCTGGGACCCTGTGCTTCCAGCCGACGCTGCGGAGCAAGGAAAAGGGACAGTAGCCAAGCAAGTACCCAAACTGACTCGGGCCTGGGCTGCCTCCTAACCTCTCCCAGCCCAGTGACCTTGCTGACCTCTCTGCTGGTCGCTGAAGGTGGGAGCTACAGGAAGAGACACGGTAACAAAGCCTTCTAACTGAGACCCTGTAAATATGCAGAGGGCCGACAGCAGGGCATTGTCACGGGCACACTGGGAGGGGGCCTCTGTGGGTGCCATCTCCGGAGTGGTCTGAAACAGCAGTAGAGATGGATACAGGCTTCTACAGCTTCACTCGGAAGCCAGAGGAGCTCAGGGGGCCTGAGGCTCACCGGTCGTTAGGTGGGGGACTGGGGTGAGGGAGTATCAGCCAGGCCCCGGAGCAAATGCAGGCAAAGCCTGGGGTGGATTCCACACCGGTCAACCCTAACAAGAGTCACCAGGCTCACTGGCTAGAGTAGGCAGGAGGTCTCCTGGCCTGGGTGGGCAACTTGGCTTAGCAGGCAAGGAGCTTGCCACAAAAGCCGGTCGACCTGGTTTTAATCTCCAGAAACGAAAGGTTGAAGGAGAGAACCAACGTCGCAAGCTGTCTACTGATTCTCACACGTCAAGTGTGTGCCCCACACCCCGTATCATACACACAATAATAATAATAATAAAGGACGTCTCCAGGCCTGCAGGTGCAGCCAGGGGAACTCGGATGGCAGGCAGCCAGGGTGCAGGAAGCCTCTCCATCCTGGGGCCTGAGGAGCCTGCAAGCCCACGGCACCCTAGGTGCTAACCTGCCTGGCTCAATCTGGTCCTTAGACAACGGGACACAGCAAGGTCCCGAAAGAACTGTCTTGGAAGAAAACACTAGGTACTACAACAGTTCCTTTATTCTAAAACTGCTGGTGGACGAGCGAGTTCCCATCGCCTCTCTGTCAGGCCAGATAACCATTGTTAACCTGGTGCGCGGTCTCCATAGGATCCGCGGCCTGTGGGCGGTGGGAATTGGGCGCTGCGATGACTAACTCGTCTAGCTAGCCGAGTGCTCATTTCTAAATCACAAACAATGGTGGGCAGGGGGAGGGGGAGAAAGGTGGGAACAAGTGTCCTGGAAGAACGGAAGGGCCTGCCCATCAATCAGTCGCTTTTTCCTGTGTTGTGCTGCCCCCTGCTGGCGGACGGTATTGTTGTCTCTGCCTTTCCAATTCCAACCTCAAGACATTGCTGGGGAGTCAGAATCCTAGCAACAACTTGCTGGGTCTCTCTCGGCGCAAAGGTGTAGACTGGATGTGTAGGCCGTTCAGACGCGGCTGTTCGACTTTACGGCCTGTTCATGCCCCCTGAGATATCGGGAGCCCAGCCCTGTGAACTGGGGCCCAGCTGGGAACTGACGACTCCTTGCTTCAAGGAGGTTAATTTTAGCTGCCGAATGAGCTATGTTGGTGTAGAAACTTAAGCTTCACTACCCACAAGTGGGAGCATCCTAATGTCACCTGCAGATGCAGGAAGGGTTTAGTCCCAGACACGATTCCTCAGGTGTGAAAGCTCCAGCGACCCAGACGGCCTCTCTGGGAATGGTCTCCGTGGTGGGTCAGACCAACCCTGGTCTCCGTGGTGGGTCAGATCAACCCCGCCCTCTCAGATGAGTGAGACTGCATGTCACAGACACCTGTGAAGGTCAGGTCCCTGGAGTGAGGCCCTTGTGATCCAGAGCACTTCTGTGCCCCCAACAAGGAGGCCTGTCCTTTTGACACCCGGGCTAGGTAAACATCCAGAGTCTTGAGCAGCCGTTTGGGGCTCTTCTTGGCCAATACTTCCAAGTCTGGAACAGAGGAGATGGGGGAACTGAAGGCTTAGGGGTATCTGGGGGGGGGGGCACAAGGTCTCAAGTCCAATGGCTCTGTGAACACAACCAACCTCTGTCCTTGAGAGACACGAGTAAAGCAGTCAACAAAGATGGCAAAACCAGACAGGGCCCAGGGACCGCTTCTCCCTGTGACACAGACCTCAACTCCGTAGAATCACTCCAACTGCTAGACCTCAGCTTTCACATCTTTTAGTTTAAAACTTGTTTTATTGTGTATGTATGAGGTTTTGCTTAAATACATGTCTGTGTAGCACATGTGCCTGATGCCTACGGAGGTCAGAGGGCACCAGAGCCCCTGGAACTGCAGCCATAGATGGCTGTGAGCCACCACATGGGTGCTGGGTTAGAGGTCAGTCCTCTGGAAGAGTGATCTTAATTGCTGAGCCGTCTCTCTAGCCCTAGGTCTCACGGTTCAGTTCTGTTCTGTTTGAGACAGGTCTCCTGTAGGCCCTGAGCTTCTCATCCTCCGGTCTCTACCTACTAAGTGGCTTGTGCTATCACACATGGTTTATGAAGCACTGGGTGGGGATTGGGCCCAGGGCTCCTGCATGCCAGGCAGGAGCTTTAACAACGGCACCACGTTCCCAGCCCAAACTCTGATTGGTTGGATGCTTTCAAGACTTACTAGTCTTTAAAGCATGCATAGAGGTTTGACTGTGGGTGCGTGCCCATGAGTGTGGGAGCCTGTAGAGGCCAGGGGAACAGCAGCTCCCTGCAGCTGGAGTCACAGGCAAATGTGAGCTGCCCACCATGGGTGCTGGGAACCAAACGGGGTCCCCTGCAAGAGCAGCAGGCCATCTGAACCGCCGAGCCATTTTGCCAGTCCTGTTTTGTTGTCTTTTGAAACAGGGTCTTAATATGTAGCCCAGGCTGGCCTTGAACTCAAAGAGATCTGGCCGCACTCTGTCTATTGAGCTTTCAAGTTTTGGTTCAGAAGATGTGGGGGTTTTGTTGTTTGATGTGATCGACAGGAGCCACCCATGCTCAAGGCTGCAATCCCAGAGCAGGGAAACAGAGGCAGGATTGTAGCCTGGCTACAGTATGAGACACTATCTCAAAAATAGAAACAAAAATAACTATCAGGCATATATGGCCAGAGCCTGTTGTGCATGCCTGGAGTCTCTGTATTCAGGAGGCAGAGGCAGATGGACTGCCATACATTCATGGTCATTCTGGTCTACACAGCAAGTTCCAGCTCAGACACGGCCTTACAGGGAGACCCTGCTTCTTCGACACACAAATGACAAGCAAGGGAACGGATGCATATAGAAGAAAGGGTGGCAGAGAAGGGGAGAGCGACCCCAGGGCTTTCTGAGGGATGGGAGGGGAAGGAGAGGAGAGGAAAATGCAGCTCTACAGAAGGTGCCCACCTTTGAGGACAAAGCCTGAGTCTGAGATAGTTCTCTGCTGGATCCTCCACACTTGTGCCAGGTGAAGGAAGGTGGCTGCGTAGAAGCTGTTCACCACTGGGATGACCTTCTGTCGCCGGTTACATTCCCTACGGGACAAAGGAAGTGACCTGCTCCGCCACAGATGAACCTGACACACCAGTGCCCCCTTCCCAGCCTGTCTGGTCACCTCACCCCAGTGTTCCCCAAGCAGTGGGGCATCCGGGTCAGGTTAGGGAGGTGAGGTGGCTGGTGCAGGGGGATTATCTGAGAGCCAGCAGGCAACAGGGCTGTGGAGACCGGAGCACAGATGGTGCTGGACCAGGCTCGGCTGGTCACTCTGATCCCAGGGACTCACCTGGAGAGACACTCTTCCCTCAGGGCCTGGATGGCAATGCGGGTGATGTTCACAGACATCAGACAGAAAGGGAATTGCTGGAAGGGAGGGTCAAAGGTCAGTGGTCAGTCAGCTCTGGCCTTGTGCATCTCCTCTGCCTCGGGTGGCTGGCAGGAACGGCCGGTTGCCGTTACTGCTTTCCACCTTACGTGCCAAAACACTTAACTGGGAACTAAGGCCTGGAATCTAGGGTTCCATATGAAGCTAGTCCAAACTAGTTCTGTATCCAACTCCCTCTTTTTTCTTTTTCTTTTTTTAAAGACTGGGTTTCACAGATCTCATGCTTGACTTAAACTCTTTGTAGCCAAGACCGACTTTGAACTTTTTAATGATTTATTTAATGTGTATGATATGAGTGTTTTGCCTGCATGTATGTCTGTGTACCATGTGTGCACCTAGTGCCCGAGGACCCTAGAAGAAGGTGTTGGATCCCTGGGACTGGCATACAGACAGTTGTGAGCTGTCAGGTTCTCTGGAGAAGCAGTCAGTGCCCTAACCGCTGAGCCATCTTCCCAACTCTCGCTCTGGAACTTCTTCCTCCACCTGCCAAATACTGGGGTCACAGTCATGTGCCACTGTGGGAACTGCAGCCCCGAGTTACATATCCCTGCCCCCATTTGAGGTGCTTATCTGCAGAGAAAACATAGTAACTTCCCTCTGCTCCTGGAGTTGGGAAAGGAAGTTTGAGTGCACGTGATCATTCCTTGATCCCTGCTGGGGTCAGGTTACAGTCCCTTCGCAGCCCCCTCCTCCTTTGGTGCCATGGTATAAAAGCTAGCCCCAGCAGAACAATAAAGAAGCTGTTCCACCTCAACCTCGTGCTCTGTGAATTCATTCAACCTGGACACCCTTCGCCGAGACTCTTGGTTCCAGCCCGCGCTGGCACAGTATGCCACCACGCCCAATCTGTGTGGGATCGGGGGTCAAATGCAGGCCTTGTGAATGCTGAGCAAGCCTTCAGCCAACTCAACTCTATCCCATCCCCTTTGTGATTTGACACAGGGTCTCACTATGAGCCCTGGCTAGGCTGCAGCTTGCTAGGTAGACCAGGATGGCCTCGAACTTGTGTTCCTCTTGGCCCTTTTTTTTTGCATTTTCTTTTGCCTCCATGCCTGGTGGGTTTAAATAGTTTTGAATACCAAAGCACGCTGATCCAAGCATCTTTTCAGGTCCAGTTGGCCACACTCCTGAAGATTCTGGGGTGTGGTTCTGGAGTGAGGTGCTGGCTGGGGATCCCTATGTGGGCCTCTGGCAAGTGTGGATTCCAGGCCCAGTCCTCCTTCTACTTCTGAGTGCCTGCTCTGGGCGTGGACACTGTACCTCTCAGACTCTCAAAACTTCAAACTCCTTTGCTGGGAGAGGGGACACACAAGGACAGAACACAATGCTGACCAGCTGCCTCCCGGAAAGCTAGCCACGTCAGCATTGCTGCGCGGTGCCTTTTTAGAGGAGACTGAGGTGGCCCACTTCCCTGGGGACTGAGCTACTTTTCAGGTTAAAGTGTTAAAAGCTCTGGGATGCATGGAGGCTGGGGTCTCTCAGCATCTGGAGGTTTGAGTCAATCCTCTTTTTTTTGAGTCAGGTTTCTCTGTGTTGCCCTGACTGTCCCAGAACTCACTCTATAGACCAGGCTGGCCTTGAACTCAGAGATCTGCCTGCCTCTGCCTTCCTAGTGCAGGGGTTAAAGGTGTGCGCCACCACTACCACTACAGCCCTGCCTGAGTTGATTCTCTTTTATCAGGGGCACAATGGGCACCTGAAACTTAAATTCTCTCTTAAGTTCTTTCTTTTAAAAAATGTTTTTAACTTTCCATGTATGGGTACATTGCCTGCATATATGTCTGTGTACCAGGTATGCCCGGTAGGTCAAAAGGTGCTACTCTCCTGGGTCTGGAGCTGCAGAGAGTTGAAAGGTGCCATTTGGGTGCTGGAAATCAACCTGGGTCCTCTGGTAGCCATTGCTCTTAATCACTGAGTCATCGCTCTGGCCCATAAGTTTTTCTTAACTATATGCATGTATTTATTTGTGTACATGCATGTATGGGCACATGCAATGGCACGTGTGAAGGTCAGAGGACAGTTTGGAGGAGTCAGTTTTCTTTTCGCTGTGATTCTTGGGGATTGAACTCAAGCCACCGTATGGTGGTGTATCATTTATATCTTAATAGATAAAGCTGCCTGAAGACCAGAGCCCAAAGCAGCTAGCTACCCTAGTCAGCCATACCGTCAGGCAGTGGTGGCACACACCTTCAATCCCAGCAGCCACCCTAGTTAGCCATAGAGGCCGGGCGGTGGTGGTGCTGCCTTTAATACCAGCAGCCACCCTAGTTAGCCATAGAGGCCGGGCGGTGGTGGTGCTGCCTTTAATACCAGCAGCCACCCTAGTTAGCCATAGAGGCCAGGCGGTGGTGGTGCCATCTTTAATACCAGCACTAGAGAGGAATATAAGGCGGGATGAGACAGGAACTCACTCTTTCAGTCTGAAGATTTCACAGAGGTAAGTGTTCTCTAGGGGTGTGGCTGCGTTGCTTTTCAGGTTGAACCCCAATATCTGTCTCTGGGTTTTATTATCTGTGCTATATCACTGGGCTTGGCAGCAAGGGCCTTTACCTGCTATCTCAACAGCCCTCAGCCATGGTTTTTAGGAGTAAACAGACTTGGCTTCTGGTTGGCCATGTCTCGTAGACTGCATCTGGAAAACTCCATGTTTTGGAGGTTCCTAGAGCTGGGGTCAAACTTCACACTGTTATTTGTTGTGTTCTGAGACAGGGTCTTTCTATGTGGTCCCCACCGGCCTCAACATCAGCAGGTTTCATGGGGAAACACTGAAATTGCTAGTCAGGGGTGTGCAGTAATGGATTGGGAGGCAGCAGGGGATCGCTGAAGGTTAGCAGACATCAGGTGGCTCATGACCACCTTAACTGTAGTTCCAGGGGATCTGATGCCTCTAGCTCTGCAGGTACATGCACACACACACACACACACACACACACACACACACACACACTATAGGTACACACACACACAAAAAGTAGATGAGTGAAAATTTGAGGGTAAACAGGATATTTGCATAATTTCAAAGTATTTTCTGTAAGATGGTTATTTATTTAGTTTTACGAGACTGGGTTTCTCTGTAGTTTTGAAACCTGTCCTAGAACTAGCTCTTGTAGACCAGGCTAGCTCCAAACTCACAGAGATCTGCCTGCCTCTGCCTCCCAAGTGCTGGGATTAAAGGCGTCGCCACCATTGCCCGACTAAGATGGTTATAATTGTAAGGGGAAAATAGAAGCTTTATTTAAATAGACATAAACCAGAGGCCTCCATCTTAACCAAAGCTAACATCACAGAAGTGTGTTCTCCTTAGTACCAGACACCCAGAAAAGCATATAACATACGTGGTGCCATTTTGCCTCAAATGCATACCTCCAATCTAATTTAAAAAAAAAAAAACAATGAGACAAACCTAAACTGAGGGATATTCCACAGAATAACTGACCATGGGCCCTTTAATATGCCAGGGCTGTAAAGGACAAACAGGCTGGAAGAGATCAGGAGACATGACAAGATGCAATGATACAAGCGCCAACCATGACAGCACAAAGTGCGACCAGAACAGAGGCTGCACAGGTATGCACAGGTATGCACAGGTATGCACAGGTATGTACAGGTATGCACAGGTATGCACAGGTATGTACAGGTATGCACAGGTATGCACTAGTTAATCACTCTGTGTGTGTGACCCCCGCATCGGTTAGAAGATTATTGGGGAAGTGTAATGAATGATATATGGCTGCTCTCTCAAGCGATCCTTTTGCAAGTTTTCTGTAAATGTAAAATTGAAAGAACACAGGCCCACTCAAGCATTGCTCTGGCAGGCCTTGCCCTTCTCCCCAGTGCCCTCAGTCTTGCTAGAAACCATCAGATGATCTAAAGCCACCAAGGTCTAGTCCCTGACTTGGCCACGTCCTCTTCCTGAGGCTGACTACCAAAATCCAGCAATCAAAAGTTCCCTTTGATTCACCTAATTAACATGCTCAATTAAAATTAAACACCTCATTCTAAAACTGGGTTTCCCCCTTTTTCTTCACGGTTAATTTTTAGGAGTTTTTATTTAACATTTCTCTCTCTCTCTCTCTCTCTCTCTCTCTCTCTCACACACACACACACACACACACACACACACACGCACACACATGCACGCGTGCACAGGCACACAATGTACTTTGATCTATCCCCTTTGATACCTCACCTTAGCACATTCTCCCTAACAAGCCCCTTCCTACTTCCATCTTTTCTCGTACCCACTGCATTTAATCGGAAGTGCTTGTGTGAGCGCAGGCAAAGGGAGCTGATAGTCATTCTTGACTGTCACCAGAGAAAAACCTCTGGGCATGTCGGTGAGGGATTATCTCGGTTAGTTAACTGAGGTGGGAAGGCCCACCCTAAATATTGGTGGCACCGTCCCTTGGGCTGGTGTCCTGGACTGAGTAAGAAAGACAAAGCTGGCCATGCAGCTGCACTCCTGGTCTTCCGCTCCCTGACCACGGACACTGTGTGACCCGCCATCTGAGTCCTTCCTAAACTGCTCTATTGGGTAATCTGCCATAGCCTTGAACTACCAATTTTCCCGCCTCCACCACCTGATCAATGCCTGATCTCACCCAACTTCATTTTGTTCTTTGCCCCTTTTCATATGGTTGCTCTATCCCCCTTTCCCAGACTCCTGGCTCATGACTGGCTGCCAAGCCCATTATAAAGCTCTGTGGAACTTGGTCTGTCCCTGTCTTTACCTTTCCCCTACTTCCAAAATGTGCCACTGTGCTCCTGGCACAGCTGTTGGACTCAATGTGTGATGCTCATGGCATGATAAAGCTTCCGATTATCAGCAAATGTTCCTGTGAATAAATATTTACTCTATTTGTGGTCCTGGCACTCTGTTTCCAGGCAGTGCTGTGACACAGATGGCCATCTCCAACCCCTGGGGCTGGAGATGCGTGTGTGTGGAAGGGTGCTGTGGCCTGCTTTTAAATCATCCTCC